TCTAATAAAACAGCTAACAAGTTTTAATACAATAACAAAAACGTTTTTTTTTTTATTTCAAATTAATTAAAAAATAATAAATTAAATAAATTAATTGAGTTTTCTCTTTTATTTTTACTTTTTAGTTTTCATTATTTGTTTATATATTTTTTTAAATTTTTAATTTTTTGTCTAATATTTTTCTTTTTAATTTTTTTAACTAATTGTCATTTTCAATTTCATTTTATTTTTATTTTTTTTTTTTTTAGTTTTTATTTTTGCTTTTTAGTTTTTTTCGATTATGCGTTTTAATTTCGTTATCCATTTTTTATTTGTTTATATGTAAAACAATTTTTTTTTCTTCTTTAAATTTTTGAATTTATAATTTTTTTAATTTTATAAATTTTTACTTTTTTTAATTTCTCTTTAGTATTGAGAATTTTTAATTTTAAATAATTAATTTAAATTTTTATTTTTATTTTAGTTGTCTTTTTTAAATTTTTATTTCCAGTTTTTTTAATTGTTTATTTCTGTTCTATTTTATTTTTTTCCATTTTCATTCATTTTTTTCGTTATCTATTTCTGTTCTTTTTATTATTTTTTTTTTTTAAGTTTTATTTTGGGTTTTTTTAAGTTTTTTTTCAGTTTTTTTATTTAACTTAAAATTTTTATTTTCGTTTCAGTTGTTTTTTCTTAATTTTTATTTTCAGTTTTTTTAAGTTTTTTTTTATTATCGTTATTTTTTTTTATTTTTTCATATTTTTTTCGTTTTTTATTTCTATTTTTTTTTTATTTTTTAGTTTTGTTTTTTAGTTTTATTTTCAGTTTTTTTTTATTTAATTTAAAATTTTTATTTTTGTTTCAGTTGTTTTTTTTTTAATTTTTATTTTCAATTTTTTTCTTTAATGGTTTGTTTTTGTTCTATTTTAATTATTTTTTTTTCAATTTTATTATATTTTTTTCGTTTTTTATTCTATTTTTTTTTTGTATTTTTTTAGTTTTATTTTCAGTTTTTTTTTGTTTAATTTAAAATTTTTATTTTGGTTTCAGTTGTTTTTTCTTAATTTTTATTTTCAGTTTTTTTGAATATTTTTTTCTGTTTTATTTTCTTTATTTGTTTTAAATTTTATTATATTTTTTTTCGTTTTTTATTTCAGTTTTTTTTTTGTATTTTTTTTTTAGTTTTATTTTCAGCTTTTTTTTAATGGTTTGTTTCTGTTCTATTTTATTTATTTTTTTTCATTTTTTTTAGTTTTTATTTTTATATTTTAATTTTATCTTTCTTATTTTTTACTTTTATATTTAGTTTTTTATTCTTATATTTGTTTTAATCTGTTTTTTTTTTTGTTTTATTAATTTTTTATTATTTTTTTTTAACTTTTTAGTTTTTTTTTTAATTTAATATTTTTATTTTCTAATTTTACAGCTCTTGATTCAACCACATATTCATACAATACTTTATATGGCAGCCAAACATATCGCCTTTAATGTATATCGCGCCCAGCTAATCGAACTCTTCCCCCAACCCACCGTCGGAGGGCAACATTCCAAGTTTTTTGTATTTATTTATATTTTTATTTTTTACTTGAACTTGATATTGAAAAACTTTTGTTAAGTATTTTTGGTCCATACATATGCTACTGAGGCGATGGCGACAACTCTTTAATAACACTTTTATTACGCCCACACCAAAGCCGTACCAATAACAAACAGCCACAGGAAGTAGAAAAAGCAGCAAGTACAATGATAAAGTTAGTAACAAAAGAACAATTGAACTATATAGTGTAAAATATCGTTATTGCACAAGCCAATAACTACTTTGTATGTATGTATAGTATATGTACAATATAAGAAGTCAACAAATAATGAAAATCAATCAAGGGTTAAGATCAAGGACATTGTGCAAGAAAGCCATGTCATAAGAAGACGTTTAAGGTTATTCAAACAATTTATAAGTATACATGTGCATGCATATATCTATGTGCATATGTATGAATGTATGTGTATATATGTATATAATGCTTCAAAAGCACACAATAAAAGTGCAACTTTTCAAAGAAATAAATATTAAAAGTAACCCTGGCAATATTAATGCGCAGCGCAGCAGTCAGCAGTCAGCAGCAGCGAATAGCGTTATATGTGAAGAAATGTGAAGGAAAAAGCACAAAAAGGTTACATTTTTTTCTAAATACTTCAAAGTTTACATAAATGTCAAGCATTTTATTTCATTGAAAATATTTAATAGAAAAAAGACTGTAAGGTTTGAAATCCAACAGTTTTACTTAGGTATTTTTTTTCTATTTTTTTGTTTGTTTTGATGATGAAAATCGTTGCGCAATAAATTGTTGTACACAAAAGAAGTAATAAACATCTTAAAAAGAGGATTTATATAATAGAAATGGCGAGCTATGAATGAGAAGTTATCAAATTTTACCATTTTTACTTTTTTTTTGTCATGCTAAGCCGATAATTTCAAATTCTGGTAACTCTCAACTACGAAAAAGTGCGTCTTTTCCTGCGTAATATAATCGACAATTAATTTTCCTGCCTTTGAAGTAAATCAAATAAATATAAATTTATATAAAACAATCTTATCGATAGTTTTTGGCAACATACAGGGAAAAATTTCGATTAATCGATTTTTTGGCTTCTATTAAAGTAGTCGATATATCCGATATTTTTGCCTCATATATATATCTATATAAATATAATATATAAATAAAACCGAAAAAACTCTTTTTAGAAATTTTTGATTATCGAAAGAGTTTGAGGTAAAAATATCGCACATATCGACTACTTGATGACAAAAAATCGATGAATCGATTGGCGCTTTTTCACCGCTGAAGCGCCTTTCGGCCGAGCCTCTCCGCCAATTTGTGGTTTTTGCGGTCTTCATACTTTTCCAACAAATGGAGCGACCTACAGCTTATACTAAGCCGTTTCCGAACGGCTGATGGTTTTTTAATTATTCTTAAAAAACTTGATTTAAAAGCCAAGCAAGCAAGTCTTTCGGAGGAGAGTACAGAATAGATGGTTGCTCTTTCAGGCAAAACTGAACTTAAAAAGCAATAATTCACACAATGGATTCCTACCATTGGTGGCCGACTTGCTACTGCGGTGTTCAGCTCTGTAGAAGTGGGCCGTTACCTGCTTCTTTTTCTTTTTCTGCGACCGCCGAAATGTTCCACCCGAAGTCAACGCAAAAATATAAGCCAACCTCACCGGGTGAAAAAGACACTGAAGAACAATCCATTATAAAACCGCTTTGTATCAATGGAGCCAATTAAGCTCACTCGATCTACCAAATATCGTCGACCTACGTGAACCGCGTGGATAGATCTTGAAGCGCAATCGCAGATGATTAACTAATGGTGGATCGGAAAGTCAGTGTCGAAATTTTTTAGGAAACCTACGCTATCAGGGAAAATCTGACAGCAGTAAAGGGCAACGAAACTCCAAACTCCTAACAGACTTTTTTCACAGGAGAACACGGCCTGTAGTTCCAAAAGGCATATACCTTCGAAAGCACTCCAAACGGCAACTGAAATTGCTATTCACATGATATATTTCCCCAGACAACTGGAAGTCATCGGCAGGAGTATTAAACCCTTTTTCAATATTACTTAAACTCTGCCGAGAGAGCTGTGGAAGGTGGAATACTCTAGTCAATCATATAGCCTGAGCTATGGTACCCGTCGATGGCAGAAGAAATATTCAAACGCATCGAATTTGGCAATGAGAAATTGCCCCCTAATGACTAGCTCGTAGTTCAAGTGGGTTATTAGCTACGGTTTCTCTTAGGGATGGGTAAATGTGTATAGGAACAGCTTCTGGGCTGCGTTGGTACTTTGCGGCAGCGTAAAGGCGAGAAGATTATCTTAATACAGAAACTACCTGAATCATCAGCCTAAAATACTTAGGCGTCAGCGAGTTCTTTCTTTTATTCAGCTGCTTAAGGAGCGAAAACTGTTAAGTAGATCACTGGTGAGACATAACTTTTTCCTTCATTGCTCTGGAACTTCATCGCGAACCCGCTCTAGTGAGGAACAGATTGTCTTGTAGCCTTCACTCTTCGGGAAACATAGAACAAGTCTACACATTGCCGATTTTTTGTTAACTCAAGTAAGGTGGACCGGATGGACACAACAATTTTGAACGGTGTTCGTGCTAACAAGAGCTCTAACGACCAGTTTCTGAGAGTGATGCCGAAGAAAAGATCGAACTGCAAAAATAAAGTAACTTAGTTCTTTGCAGGAGAAGCACAAGGAGAACAGGTTACCACCCACATGGATATCCAACCAATGGGAAAAGAAAAGAGTCTGACAAGCGAGCGAAATACCTACCCTACCCTGGTCCTACCTTGGTCATACATGGCGATTTTTCAATGAATAAATAGCATTTTGGTATACATTTTGGCACATCCGAACCTTTTCTCAGATAATTTGCCTATGAATAGTCAGTGGCATTGCACATCGACTCACTTGAACCAAAAACAAACGTAGCTGAAACTGGTATGTAAAAGATAAAGCTCTGTGAGGTGACTAATTGAAAGCACGTCAAGCTAGAAAGCTGGAAGCTTCTTACAGACATGCTGATGATGAAGTAGCGGGAAAAAAATCGGTAAGCGCAAATAAAATACGGCCGTAAAACTCAATTTTCTACAAATAAGAATCGGTCTTAATATTATACTTGAAAGCTTTAAAAGCTCTTAAGTACTACGTAATCACAAGCGATCCAAGAATGGTGTGTAAATTGAGACGATCATTTAATTAAAGTCAGAATCACAGAAGCTAATCACAGCAGGAAAAAGTCAGTGGTGGTTGGAGACAGAAAGCTCCAGGGTCCTTTAAAGGGTTATTAAAATAATTTTTGCCATAAAAACGTGTTTTTATTGACCGAAAAATAAAAATGTGTCAAATTAAAATTTCGAGACTAATAATTTTCTTTTAATTGAATCTGTGTGAACAGCGCAAATTTTGTTAATTAACTAAGCATGGCGATTTGAAAGAAAGAATTCCATATTTATTTTCAATTGAAATCGAAATTCATTTATTTTTATTATGAAAAGTCATTGGAAAAAAAATTAACTAACTAATACTTCTGCTGCCAACTCAACTGAACAATCTGGTCATTTACAATCCAGTCTTAATTTCATTTACTCTTCTCCTCCTCTGCCTCGTCATCATCGTGCACATGTAAATTAAGGCAACTTATGAAGAAATTGTCGATTGTATTGTAGACATGAGGTAAGAAGCTGCCAATCGAGTGATTTTCATCCGTGTAGGCCTGCCGAAGAGTAGGAAAAATATATTTTTTTATATTTTAAAATATTTTTATACTTTCTGTGTGTACTTAAAGAGTGGCCACTTACCATTTCCTCAAACAAAATATTGGCGGCTTGTAGGCTCTTGGCAAACAGCAGCGAGTTCTGGTAGTGCACATTATCGTCACCTGTGCCGTGTATCAGTAGCAGATCGTGTATATTAAAAGTGTCAATTTCCTTATGGAACACACTGCTCTTCAGATAGCCGGCCAAGTTATCCTCCTCCGTTGGTAGACCCATATAACGTTCGGTGTAGATGGTATCTAAAAATGAGAAAGAAAATCAGTGAGTTTTTCCCTCTCTCCTTCTCTCTCCTTCTCTCTACCACTCTCTGTCCTTCTCGCATAACTCACCATAATACAACCACGATGTGACCGGCGCCACACTTACACCGCACTGGAAGACATTATTCGCATCATACTCCAGCGTTTTGATTGTCATATAACCACCATAACTCCAACCCCAAATACCCACACGTTCCGCATCGATAAATGGATAAAGGGTTTGCAGATATTTAGCAACGAAAATCTGATCCTGTGGCTCCAAGTCGCCCAAATTGTTATTCACACTGAAGAGTAACTTCTTGCCCTTATTGCCCGTACCACGTCCATCGATCAGCGCGTAGATGACCTCGCGATTTGTGGTCACAAAGAGGTTGTAGCCCGTGCTGAAAGCGCTGGTGACACGCACCGAATTGGGACCGCCATAGACATTGACAATCATTGGGTATTTCTTGGTTTCATCCAAATTCGGTGGAAACTGCAGCTTCACAGCGGCAAAGGAGCCATCGGCTAGTGTTACATTTATATAAGTGTTGTTGGGAAATAGTTTATTAGCAAAATACTCGCGGAAAATATGATTATTCTCCCAAACGGCTACTTCACGATCGGTCTGGAAGAAGTGAAAGTAAATTTAGATATTGCTTTTGGGGTTGGTAATAAAATATTCCAGACTTTAGTTTAGAAGAGAGCTCACAGGGGAAAAAACCCGATCTCTGGACCCACAATAATTCACCGATCAACGCATAAAACTCAAGCCCCCCCCCCCTCTCCTTTTTCAGTTCTCACCACTTATGAAGAGCTAAGACCACGTACTGGAAATTTTTTTCAGATGTCATAAGCCATTAGTTGCTAAGTCTTGGTCTCTGCACATCTTCAATATTTCCCATAACTTTAACCCCAGAAAACTGTCAATAGCTTCCAGAATACGATCACCATTTTTCGAAGTTACAGAGGCGCAACGAAGTCCTCAAGTTGTTGTTGTTGTTGTAGCGGTTCGCTAACCCCGCTTAGGCATAGGTTTGTTCAGTCTAAGTCGCCGAGGTCATCTAGTGGTAGGTCCAGGAAACGAGCTGTTTCCGCGGGGTTGGACCAAAGGGAGAGGGGGGTTAGATGAGTGGGTTTGAGGGGGCATGTGAAGAGGTGGTTAGTGTCGTGCGGGGACTCTCCACATGCCGGGCATACGTTAGGTATGCTGGGGTCTAGTCTGGATAGGTAGGAGTTTAACCCGCTACAATATCCAGACCTGAGTTGTGTCAGGGTCACGCGGGTCTCTCGAGGCAGCTCGAGCTCGTTGTCTGCTATGGGTGGTGGTATTTCTCCGAGTACGCCATTCACTGGAAGGGAGTCCATGAATCTGTTGACTGACTCCTGGTGAATGGCGTTCAGTGCTTGTCGATACGCCATCCTATCCAGCGGTTGTTGTGTGTTGCTGGATTGTGTCCTTAAAGACTCTCACGACAGCCGGTTCTACGCACCGGAGTTGACCCGGATTTTATCCGGCCAACGGCTGTCACCCTTTCGGCGACCTAACCCGATGAACGCCTTCCTTAACTCTTTTTCCACAAATTTCGCTATCCTGAATCAAACATCACCTACAGCGGGCAAAGAGCTCTTACTGACCCGCGTAACCATTGACACATAAACTCTAGATATTGTAGACGAGCAATCTGGTCGACGTCGTCTTGGTCAAACTAAAAGTTTTCCTCACTCCATTTACATATAGCTTACCTTAGTCTCAAAAACTCGTATAATTGCTGGACCGGGTCCATTACAGTTCAGCACATAGTATGTGTAATTCGTGCTGAAGGAGGCGCCAGCTGAACGGCAAATGTTATCCTCGGAATCACGTAGTTTACAGCTCAAACAGTCGTTATTGCGGAAAACATGTGATTGAAAAGGTTGATCCCTCAACGTAGCCTGATAGTAGCTGAAGAACACAAAGCAACATTTCAACAAAAGACACAACACTCAGCAGCAGTGCACTTACAGCTCATCGGCAGTCTCATCGTAATGGTAAACATTCAGCACGGTAAAGTTACCGCGCGTCTCCCACAGATTCTTGCCCGTCGCCAAATCCAGTCGCCACACTTGCAGCCAGTCGTCAATCCAATAGGTAAAGGTACAATACGTGGACTCACATTTCGGTGTGCTCATCATAATCCAGCCATCAGACTCCTGCAAGCGCGTCACCTCACGACACACACCCTCCAGTGTGCATTCCTGCAGAGTAGCCAAGTTTTGACGACGATTCAGCCAAACCAATAGAAAGCGACTGCTATCGATCCAAACAACATTTTGTATAATGTGATCGGCCGTTACAATCTCAACGGGAGCAGTGATATTGACGGGATCCAATTGCTTGGTATCCACATTGAACAAACGCAAACCTACTACAGGGTTTGGTGTGCCCACTTTGGGATATTTCAAGTCCAATTCTTGTGGATATTGATACTCCAACAGCGAGTTGTTTATATAGCTATCTTCGTACACCTGATACTTGAAGGTCTTCACATCGACGTCATTGAAGTAACCGCTTATGAGATGCGTACCGTCTTTGGACCACCACATTGCGCTGCCGCTGGACAGTACCTCCTCCTCATACACCCAATCGGGTATGCCGTTGTAGATAACGCCGGTTACGCCATCGCTGGTGAGCTGCAACTCCTCATCGTTTTCATAGTGTACGTGTACATTATTTTCATAGATGTAGGCGAGCCGGTTTTTCGACGGCGACCAACCGCAGTACTGCAATTTCTCGCCATTATGGACTTTCGTCTCGTCTCTGTGCGGAAAGACCGAGAAAAAATGGTATTAAATGTCTTCTGAGCTACGAAATTAACCTCCATACCTGGTATCAATATCCAGCAGAGAGTATTTCGCGATGACCGAATGCCTAAACAGCTGCTCGACATCGTAACGTATGAGCAGCTTCGTGTTGTCGGGCGAGAATGTGATGGTTAAATCCGATGGATACACCTCCTGTGAGTGTGAACATTTATATATGTATGTATTGCAATGTTTTGACTTGATAACTTCAACTGATCAACTTACGAATATCGCTGGCGGCAAGATCAGCGAACGATTTAGTGTGGGCACATTATATTTATAGAGATAACCGTCTGTAGCTCTATAAGCGATTTCATCATCTGAAAAAAATAAAAGAAGGGTTTTTGTTTATGTGAGTCTCTTTAGGATTCGGGTGGTCTTCTTATAGTTCCAATCGCTGGATGGTGATCAATTCTTATTATTGTGCCCACGTCGCGTATTTGATCGGATAACCCCTATGCTCGAAACATAGCAACGACCGCCTCGGATGGAGGCTCCAAATTTGAATGAGGTCCACAGCAAACAAAGCAAAAGTTTTGATTTGAACGCAGGAACCAGGAGCTAACGAAATCATGATTCCAAAGCTGCCGCTGCCCTGCACAGTATACGATAGCGAGATAAGAAGGGAAGGGAATAATTTCTCTCGATATTTACTACAGAGGCCAGGCGGATTTATCACGGAAGATAGCCAAGTTATTATGTTGCTGCTATAGTGGCCAGTTAACTGCTTAAGAATAGGCAAAGTCAGACGTTGTCGTAGAGGTCATCTAATGGGCGACCCTAGAAAGGCGCTATTTCGACGAATTCAGGCTGATGGAGAGGAGTGTTAGATGAAGCAAAGAGATGATCAGAGTCCTACAAAGACTCATTATATACACAACATAAGTCGGATATGTCAGGGTTAAGTCTGGATAAGCGAAAGACGAGTTTCTTATTGAATCTAGATCATTATTATGCCAGAATCAGCTAAAAACCGCCACCAACAAACAACGAGAAGTCGAGAGCAGGCAGCAACGCAGTTTTATACAAGGAAACTGAGGGGCGGTACTTCCATAGAAATATTAAGATTTCAGCAAAAACGTACAAATGGCTGGCGTAGTGAAGTGCAAGGGGAATGCTTGAAAACTCTAAGAGAAATGAGAGGGTTCTCAGACTATAGCTTGTTCCAGTATGAGCGCAGAAGATGATTTGGTAACTATTGCTACAAAAGAGGGGGTAAAGGTCCAGCAGAATCCGGATATTAAAAGGTATACGTTCCATTATTAAATAGTGCAAAACCGAACGTGAATTATTTTCTCTTTCATAAACAAATTTCCATTCACATGGTTCACACGACCTAATCAATGGCCCAAATCTACTTCGCCAACGCATTTTCACCATGAAAATTAATCAGACTTAATTGATTTGAATGAATGTCAACTGAGCCAAGTCTCAAGATCAAAGAAAAGAAAGAGAAAAAACAACGACGACTAAAGTCTCGGCTTATTTGGTAAATGAGCTTTAAATAAAAATAGTTCGTGTGCAAATGTGGCATTATGTGGTAATCAGTTATAAGTCGATGATCAAATATGGTATATGACCATACATACACATACATATGTATATACGAAGCTAGCCAATAAACATTAAAACAACAAAAGAAATAAAGAAAAATATTATAAAATAAAATAAAATAAAATAAAATAAAATAAAATAAAATAAAATAAAATAAAATAAAATAAAATAAAATAAAATAAAATAAAATAAAATAAAATAAAATAAAATAAAATAAAATAAAATCAAATAAAATAAAATAAAAAAAATAAAATAAAATTAATTAAAATAAAATAATATAAAAAATAGAATAAAATGAAATAATACAAAATAACATAAAATAAAAAATGATTAAAATAAGAGATATAAAATAAAATAAAAAAAGATTATAATAAAATAAAATAAAACAAGAAAATAAAATAGAATAAAATTATATAAATTGAAATAAAATTAAATTAAACTAAATGTTTCAAATATATTAAAATTTAATAGTAAATAAAAATAAAATAAAATAAAATAAAGACACAAAATAAATTAAAATTCGATTAAAGTTGAACTGAAAGAAAAGAAGTTAAATGGGATACTATAAAATAGCTTACTAATAAAATAAAGTAAAATAAAATTAAATTAAGTAAAGTGAAATAAAATAAATAAAAATTGCAAATAAAAAGGTTAGATAAAATGGTAAAAAATAAAATGTTAAAAATTAAATTGATTTCAATGTTAAAATGAAATTTAATGTAATAAAAAATGAAATTCCAAAAATTTAAAATTAAGTTAAATGAATATAAAATGTAGATGAAATATATAAAATAGCTTAAAATAAAATTAAATATATTTTAATGAAATGAAATAACAAACACATTAATTTAAAATAAAAGCAATTTAATTAAATAATGTTATATAGAAAAACGATAAAAAACAAAATAAAATAACAGAAAATGAAATAAAATTAAAACTTAAATGAAAAGATGCAAAATAGATATTATAAATAAATAAAATAAAGTCAAATAAAATTAAACAAAATAAAAAAAGGATGAAAATAATGAAAGATAAAATTTAAGGGTTTGAAATTAAATTAATTATAATCAAATAATTTTAAATATAATTTAATATAAAAATAAATTAATATAAATTAAGTTTAAAAAACTAAAATTGAATGAAATGTAATTAAGAAAATTAGAAAATAAAATTAAAAATATATTACCTTAAATTAAAATAATATATATTAACTTAAAATTAAATGTAAAATAAAAAAAACGTTAAAGAAATTAAAATTCAATTGAATTAAATATGTATAATATAATTAATAAAATAAAATAACATACAAAAAAATAAAAAATATATTATACTAAAATAATATTGAATAACAGAAAAATCGATTCATCGGTTATAATTATATATATATATTATATATATATTAACTTGGGACAAAATTAATTAAATAAAATATATTTATATCGAGCTCAAGTCGGCAAAGAAAATTAATTCCAATTAAAAGGTTATTAAAATTAAATAATTTATTTTAACTGAAACTTATTTTGTTATTATTGAAACTGATATATTATATAAATATAAAAACAAAAAAAATACTTAGTAAGCTAAAATTACCAAATAAATAATAAATAAATAAAATAAAAATATTAACAATATAATTATTTAAATCAAATGATATACATAAAAGAAATTTGAATTAAATTAATTTAAAAAAAAATTAAAAAAATTTAATTAAAATAAATATTGTAAACTGTCTAAATATAGAATATATTAAATCAAAAAATATAATTTAAAATAAAAAAGCAACAAATAACAAAATAAATATTTTCAAATATAGAACCTAATTTTTGATTCCATAAATAGATCAGTGTATCTTAATTGCCAATTAGGTGCCTGTCTGAACATGGTACAAATGCAACGTGTTGGTAAAATTAAATTAAAATTTTTAAATATATTGGAAATTTTTGAATGACTTCCCTTCTCGCGGTAAATTAATGGTCACTTTAGACACTTTGAAAAAATATGTTTTTTAATATACTATCAAGTACTATTGTGTACACTTATCGATAAGAATTTATTGGGTAATAAATTTGATAGAAAAGAGCATAAAAAAATTAAGAGGAAATGTGACCAGGCGAACGCAATTGAAAGATTAGATTTACAAATGAAATGATAAGAATTTAGTATTAGATTGCAGTAGATAAAAAGTATAACTAGCAGCTGAATTGTTGCTAAAAGTCAATAACTGGCGCGACAGCAGTTTGAAATGGAAGAGAATCGTGCAGCTGGTTTTACCTGAATTTCATTTTGATTATCTAATTTGGATTCGTTTTTTTCAAGATTTCTTTCAATGGAAATGACACTAGCAAAAATGCAAATTTCAATTAACTATTGTAAACATTGAAAATACAAATCACTTTACCGTTAATCCAACTTCCATTGAAACCACGCAAACGTCCGCTCGCCGAGAGCGCTTCGCTCAATTCCCAAGGTACTTTTGCCGCTGCATCGCGCGCTGCATCAGTTTGCGGTAAATGACGTGCATGTGTTGCATTTATCAGCAACACAAACAACACCAAAAACAAGTGCAATAAATTCGTTTTCCAAATCATTTGATTTATATTTTTTTATTTTATTTATTCAATAATTTTTAATTAATTATTTTGTGCACGCAAATATGTGTGTGTGTATTTTTTTTAACAAATACAAATAAATCACAATAAAAGCGCTGCAAACAAGACGAAGCTAACGCAGACAGGCGTACACGTCACTGAACTCTTATTTGGTTTTTATGTAAATCACCAGCAAAATCCACCAAATCAATTATTATGCACGACGCATGCAAATAAGACAATATACACAACAAGTAGTATAACAACAACTTAATATAGGTACAAACAACCACCCAAAAGCATCGACCACCGATCTCGTCTGCTGACTACCACTTTTCACTGCACCGTTGTATCTCAGCCAACACGCGCACCATACAACCGCTGCACTTGACTGCCAGCGCTCAACTGAGCTCCCGCAAGCCTCTGTACAGCGCTTTGAAATGATAAGCCAAAGCGATCTGTTGTCGCGCACAGCGAGCGAGGAAGTCTACAATCAAAAACCGTCCGACGTCATTGCCTGCGCGGTCGTGGCACTGCACGCTGGTCGTGATCTTCGAGCTGCTAACGCAACGCCGCGTGAGAGTGACACCCCGCACCACGCAGCCATGCATATTACGGGCGCGCTCACTCTAAAACAGTACCTTATGCCAGTCTCTTTGATTGGCATGCCCATTGGCAGTTGAATTCCTCACTTATTTGTGTTTACTCATGCGATTTGCAGAGCAATTGGATTTGTTANTTTCTTTAAATGGAAATGACACTAGCAAAAATGCAAATTTCAATTAACTATTGTAAACATTGAAAATACAAATCACTTTACCGTTAATCCAACTTCCATTGAAACCACGCAAACGTCCGCTCGCCGAGAGCGCTTCGCTCAATTCCCAAGGTACTTTTGCCGCTGCATCGCGCGCTGCATCAGTTTGCGGTAAATGACGTGCATGGGTTGCACTTATCAGCAACACAAACAACACCAACAACAAGCGCAATAAATTCGTTTTCCAAATCATTTGATTTATATTTTTTTATTTTATTTATTCAATAATTTTTAATTAATTATTTTGTGCACGCAAATATGTGTGTGTGTATTTTTTTTAACAAATACAAATAAATCACAATAAAAGCGCTGCAAACAAGACGAAGCTAACGCAGACAGGCGTACACGTCACTGAACTCTTATTTGGTTTTTATGTAAATCACCAGCAAAATCCACCAAATCAATTATTATGCACGACGCATGCAAATAAGACAATATACACAACAAGTAGTATAACAACAACTTAATATAGGTACAAACAACCACCCAAAAGCATCGACCACCGATCTCGTCTGCTGACTACCACTTTTCACTGCACCGTTGTATCTCAGCCAACACGCGCACCACACAACCGCTGCACTTGACTGCCAGCGCTCAACTGAGCTCCCACAAGCCTGTACAACGCTTTGAAATGATAAGCCAAAGCTGATCTGTTGTCGCGCACAGTGAGCGAGGAAGTCTACAATCGAAAACCGTCCGACGTCATTGCCTGCGCGGTCGTGGCACTGCACGCTGGTCGTGATCTTCGAGCTGCTAACGCAACGCCGCGGGAGAGTGACACCCCGCACCACGCAGCCATGCATATTACGGGCGCGCTCACTCTAAAACAGTACCTTATGCCAGTCTCTTTGATTGGCATGCCCATTGGCAGTTGAATTCCTCACTTATTTGTGTTTACTCATGCGATTTGCAGAGCAATTGGATTTGTTATGGGTTATTGAGATTATTCGTTATGCCAAGCATTGTCTATGACTTAGCCAGACAAAAAAAAGTACATACACATGTTTCAAAATGAGAGAAAATGTTCAACTTCCTCTTAATGGATCGAAGTTGATGGGAATATGACGAATTGAAGTCGGTAGAGAGGGATTAGAGCTTCTTCGCTTACGGACTGAAACCAGGCTGTGAGAAGGGGTTTCTTTTTTAGGAAGCCATGCATTCACCCAATGTTCAGACTGCCCCACTACTGTTTTGTTTTACCGGAATTGTTGTCTACCATTCGGCTACCTATTAGAAGATTCAGATTTCCTTATCAGCGCTCTTAACTCTCTTACTGGGGGCTTAAAACAGTCATGACTTGGACAAACTTTTTTCGTTATTTTACTAAGAAGGAATTGGTCTCTTGAGAACGTAGAGCGATAAGTTGAACCAATGTACTCGAAACAAAATCCAATCAACAATCCCGTCTCGTCTAAAAGAATACTATATTTTGATTGATTTTTAGCCCTCCCGTCAACTTTTAAGTGGCGATCGCATCGTTTATACAAAGTGGAGGCATCTAGTGAAGCAGGGATTCTCTCCACTTGATCTTTCCACTCTTTCTCTAGTTCCACCAGGGAGTACTGTCTCTGAAGCTTTCACAGCTTGCACATTTTCACCCATCTATACCTTGTGATCAAGTCAACGTGGTCGCTGTGCCTAAATGTCGTCTTATAGCTCATGTTAAGTCGTTCTTGTTATTTTGTACTTCTAGTGGCTCGCTAGCTCCGCTTAGAATGAGGTAAAGATTAAATGCAGACCACGCTAACCAATCCAATGGAAGTCTTTTAACAGCGAGATCCAAAAGGAGAGGAATGTTGGATAAGGGTGTTTTAGGCGACTTGCGAAGAGGTTGTTACTATTGTCTGGGGACTAATTGTATGCTGGACATAAATTGGATCGACCCCGATGAGACTAAGTAGATTGGAGTCACTACAGTTTCACGGTTTAGCTCGAACCCTAAGCTTTCAAATACTGCTGGTCGGATAGCAGTGTTGCCGTTCACTGTTAGGAAGATATTTATTGACGTACTGAGAATGGCTTGCAAGGTCTGTAGGTTGATTTAAGCGGGTTGTAGTAAGTTTCAGTCTTAAAAGAAGTTGAGAGATAGAGTAGAAGATATTAGAAGATATATTTGTCGCAATCTTATTAATGAAAAATAATCAAGAGACTGAGAAAGCTTAGATTACACACTCCTAGTTCCAAAGCGCTGTCTTATCAGTATCGACGCATATTCTCCGGGAAGGCGTCTGCTAACAATTTTTATAAAAAATGCAATTTTGATTTAACTGGGTTGGATTTTGTTTATCCAGTTTTTTTTTAAATATATGATATTTTCATACTCTCTTTCTCCCCCCCTCTAACCTCCTCTCCCTCTCACCCTCCCTCTCCCTCTCTTTTATTGTTTTTAATTCACGCAGAGCAGACAAATATTTATAGTCAACTCTGTATGAAGGCCAGTGTCATGAGTGAGGCTATGTAATAAACAATTACCGGTCGGGGAGCTTTTGTTTTCTTTCTTTTCATTTGCTTTACATTATACAATATGTAATTCATTGAACCTTATCAATGGACAGTGTGGCGAAATGGTAGTATTTAGTGTTTAAAAATTTTATGGTTGAGTGAAAATTTTTTTATCCGATTTCCCATGTATGTATATATGCATAAATGTACAGATGACGTAAAAAAAAAATAAATTTTCTCAACTGCCGAGTGCATGAAAAGAGTCAGCTGAGTGATCTCTCAGCATATGACTTCCAATTAATTGCCAACCGCTTTATAATAACAACAAATCGAGTGCAGAAGAAGCACTTAAGTAAATTAATTAAATTCATTATTGTATATGTAACACTTGAGTAGGTAGGTTAACCATTTAAATTACCTTAAAGAATTAATACATTATATAATAAATAAAATGAGTGCACGCATGAGCAGTGCCTACCTGCTGAAGTATCTGCACCTTCCCAGCGAACGGTGCAAGCAGTTGATAAGTAATTGAAGGGTATACAAACAAATAAATAAATAATATTTTGAGCTGATTAAGTTTTTTTATTTTTTTTTTTTTTTTGTGAAAATTCTCACATTGTCATTTAAGCTCTTGCCTTTGGTTTATTTAAGTAATTTTTCGTTTTTATAATAACTAAATTTGTCTAACTTGATTGTATTCTTCAAAAGCAATTCATTACTATTTTGTTATTTATTTAGTTGTTGGTTTATTTACTTATNCTTTATAAATTTATTTATTTATTTATTTATATATACATTAATTTTTTTATTAGTTAGTTTATTTAGTTATCTATATATTTATTACTTATTTATTTAATTATTTATTAATTAATATATTTTTTATTCATTTATTTTCAAATAAATTTATGTATTTTTTTATTAATTTTTAAGTTAGTTAATTTAATTACTTATATCTTTATTTATTTATTAATTTATTTATATTTTTATTTATTTATTATTTATTTATTTATTCATATATTAATTTATTATTTTTTATTTATTTATTTATTTATTTATTTATTTATTTATTTATTTATTTATTTATTTATTTATTTATTTATTTATTTTTTAAATTATTTATTTATATATTAATTAAACTATTTATATTTAAATAATTTTATATTTTTTCACTTTGAAATTAATTAATTTAATTATTTATATATTTATTAATTTATTTATTCTTTCTTTATTAATTTATTAATTTTTAATTGATTTATTTATTTGTTAATTTTTAATTAATTTATATGTTTAGATAATAATTGTTTTTATATTTACTTATTTTTAAATAATTTTATTTATTTATTTATTCGTTTATTAATTAATTAATAACAGTTCATATTTTTATATTTTGCTCATTAAGTCTACATTAGTGCAAATCCAAATACGGAAAGGTGGGTACAGATGTGTTTCAAACCCTGACAAGACAACCGAAGTGGCGTTTGCCAATGAAGCCACTGGCCGAAGGCGATCTTGCACCTATTTATGATACGAAGTAAGACGTCTGGTTTGGAAGGAAAGGCTGACTCCCAGTAAAGACGAGTTGGCGCATTAGGGAGTATTATTAACCTCTAACGGCATCTTCCAGCGTGTTGCAACCAAACTGATGAAACGAGACTTAATGGATTATAGAATTGGCCTGTCGAATCTGACATTTTCAACTTGCCTCCATGGCTTAAGTGCTGTCGTCGCCGGGTCGTTCCAGCTATTCTCCATTGATATTGTAAAGAATAAATAAAATTCTTTTTGTCATAATTTTTTGTTAATACTTTTAATACTCATGCCAATTATAACTTAAAATTTACTAATAAATTGTATGTATACATACTCGTATGTATGTAAAAGTATATTTCTTTCTTCGATAATCCATTATCTTACTCTGGACATCATGACATTTTGACACTTGATTTTGGTGCTTCCAATAATAACTCTGCCGGCATTTGCTGGCACTAACAAAAGCGTGAAGTTGTACATACATATGTATATACTCGTATGTATGTATGCATCACTCATGTCTCTATCATCTAAGTTCACGCTTATCGCTTGAGCATCAGCTTGCCTTGCCGATTTGAACGCTTGTCCAGAGGAGTTCGTTCGAATTTCTTATGCTTATCCCGTAATGATACTTTACTTTTATAATTATGTACATATGTTTTTCGTGTACGTACATATGTATGTACGAGTATTTATAAGCCAGCACTCGTTAGGAAACGAGGAGTTTATTAATATTTCAGCCAGAGCTTGAAGAGAGGCAACAAGGAGTAACGAAAATCCAACGAAAGCCTCAGAAAGAAACTTCGTAGGTGAATACCTTCCAGAGGATGGACATCTTCTGGTCGCTTAATATATCCATTTACAAACTCGGTTAGGTATGCCCTTCCTTAAAGGCAATTGTGTTAGGAAGAATTGAAGAATGGAACAAAACACAATGTGAAGACCTTTCGAAGCAGAAGCCCGCAATATTTAACTACGAAAGCTGTGGTTTAGGAACTCAATTATTTACTTTTGATAAGTCATACCTAGAGACCCTTGTTTTTACTATTCTAGCATCTAAGACACCCCACTAAGAAGCTGCCGAGGACCTAAAAATAATTATTTCGACGGACCAACCCAAGGAACGGAGGTGTTAGTGCACTAAAGGGTCTGTAAAGAAGTAGTTCGGGTCGGGCGGGAACGGGGCTAGGTCGCCGAAAGAGTGACAGCCCTTGGAAGGATAAAATCCGGGTCAACTTCGGTACGTAGAACCGGAGTCCAACTCATCTAACCCCCCTCTCCCTTTGGTCCGACCCCGTCGAAACAGCTCGTTTCCTGGACCTCCCATTATATGACCTCGACTCCTTAGACTGATCAAACCTGTGCCTAAGCGGGGTTAGCGAACCGCTACAACAACAACAACAACAACTGGCACAACTTAGGTCTGGATATTGGAGCAGGTTAAACTCCTACCTACCCAGACTCGACCACAACATGCTCAACGTATGCCCAGCATGTGGGTGGGGAGTCTCCGCAAGACACTAATCACCTCTTCACAAGGCTCCTTAAGCCGATACATCTAACCCCCCCCTTTCCACTGTTCCGATACCGTCGAAACAGCATGTTTCCGGTACTTTCCGTTAGATGGCCTCGGTGGTTTAGATTGATTTTAAACCGGTCCTTGAGCGGCGTTAAAGTAGCTGCTACAACAACAACAAGGAGACTGCCTGTTGTGGTGCAGGAAGCTTCGAAAGGTATAAATTTTGAAGAGAACATTCAACCGGCGGAGTTTTTTTGAGCTCGAAATACTACCGTTAATTGTTGACGATTACTTAATAACCGTTAGTGACACTGCGTGAAGGCTTTCGGCAAGTCTGGTGTAACTAACACAGTTCACACGCCCGTTAAGGCCATCCGTACCACCCACGTAAGTTGCAACTTTATTATACACAGTTCGATCAGCGATTTTATGAAATAAATTTGAAATTATTTTTACCATTAAAAATTTTTAAATTTTTTTTTATATTCTTTATTATCATAATTTTTTTTTTTTGTATGTTTTAATTTAATGATTTGACAAATGAGAAATCATGTTCATTAACTGGGCTTATCATCTAACTATGTATTACGCACAATCTCAATACAAACTTAATTACGTTTTGTATAGGTCAATTTCACGTCCTTTCTTAATAGATACTCGTGGGTTCTTCCATGCCGCTGCTACTATTTTTTATATTTTTTTTCTTTTTATTTTGCAGACAATTATGCACTCTTTGTTCTCATTTTAGCCAGCAACTTTTCATACGTAGGCTTTTGATATAGTGTGTGTATGTGTATGTAAGCATGTGTATTTAGATTTTTTTTTTTTTGTTTTACTTTTACTAACGATGATACATAAGGAATTTTTAATATGAATTTCTTACAATTTTTGTTAATTTTCATTTTTTCTTTTTTGATATCTAGGCATAGTGACAGTTATTTAGGTAATTGATTTCTTTCTTTCATTCATTTTAATTTATGCCAGTGCTGATTTTTAACATTCAAGTTGTTGCTTTAAATATCTTCCATCTTATACTTTGATGCAGGTATAAATAATAATTTTCGAAAATATAATTTTCATTCACACAGTTTGTTGGTTTGAATGCATGCATTTGAAATAAATACAAAAAAAAACTATGATTTACTGTTATTGAGGAAAGAGATTTACACATTTTGTCTCTAAAAAGTTTCAAGTTGCTAAAATAGCGGGTTGTTCAAAATAAAAACAGTTTTACAAATAATATTTTTTTTTTGTAATATAAAAGCCGCATAAAAATAGTAGGAAAATACAGTTATGAATAGAAATTTGTATAGGAATTTCAGAGCCAATTTCAAATACGAAAATTAATTAACTAATGATAAATTATCAATTATAATATATTATTAACGCCAATTGGTATACCACTTTCCCAAGCAAACGATTCATGCCGAATTATGTTGAATTTTAGAACTAAACACATACATATATACGTCGTATTTACTGCAATTTCAACTTATATTTTAAATTTATGAGAAAATACAAATTTTTTTCCAAGACATCTACTTGATTGCTCTATGCATGTCATACCATTTAAGTATTGCCATTGAGCTTCCCAAGTATTTGCTCTTGCATTTCCAGACATTTCGGAAAGAAACGTTCCAACAAATTCACCTTACGCTCCTCTAGTTGCATACGCTTTCTGGAGATTTCCAACTGTTCCGCAAGTAGTATGTTTTTTTTACGCACCTCACTTATGTACATGGATTCCAATGTATCGGCACCTCCTTGTGTGGACACCAACATGTTATTGGCGTTGGAGGTGCGTCGACGTCGCGGTTGACCTGGTCCACCGCGGCCGTAACCTGGTGTTGGCGGTTGCATCGTTGCACCACCACTACCACTGGCGTTAGCACTGCCACTAGCACTAGCACTGGCACTATTGCTATGGTTATTAGTGTTAGCATATTGACTATTGTATGTTGGATTGGCAACGTGCTGCTGGCCAGGCGTTGAGGCTGACGCTGTAGTTGCAGTTGCCGCATAATGATTCTGATTCGTTGCATAGGCGTTGCCACTATGATCATAAGCAGCTGGTAGTGCTTGTTCTGGATGTGTATGCGAATTGTTGGCTGTAGTTGTATCTGGCGGTGGTGCCGTTGTAGATGTTGGCGGATACTGTTGGTATTGCTGCTGTTGCTGCATTTGTTGTTGTTGCTGTTGCTGTTGCTGCTCCAATAATTGTTGTGGTGTTTGTAGGGTATGTAGTTGCGGCTCCTCGTCATCATAATCCTGTGTTGGTGGCTGTGCATCAATATGATTTGGCTGCGGATAGTTGCCAAAACTAGGGAATTCACTTGTAAATTCTGTTTTAATTTCCTCAATTGTGTCGCTGAAAAGCTCAGTGCTTGTATTGAATAGTGAAGTGGTGATGCTCGAGTCAGCTAGAAATTCACTCTTTTATTTGAAAGATGAAAAATACGCATTAAGTTGAGTTTTCTTCTAGCTTTAAACAAAAATGTAAAAAAAAGGTACCTCAGATTTTATATCGATATCCTCGCTGCTTGCCGGCACATCTAATAACATGGAACCATTGTTGTTCTCTGTCGTGGATGCATTATTTGTGGCTTCTTGCGTATTGGAACTGGATGTAATACTTGTGGGCGAAGACTGCCGGGCTGAACGTGGCGGTGATGGCGGTGAACCAACTTCGCTCAAATCAATATCACGATTATTCTCTAATGCTTCTTTCGGTACTGGTTCGGCATCTTTTGGACGATACTGATTTTTAAGTATCTTATCTATAATTCCAAATTTTTTCCAACGTGCGGCATTTTTGTCTGCAGCTATCTGCTTTTTCACTTGCCTATAGAGATGTTTAATATAAAAGTAATTTAATTATCATCAAATTCATTTTTTCTCAATTCTGCAATTCTTTAAACACTCGTTCAACTTCACTTACCTGAACTTTGCGCGCGTCTGGTTGACTTTCGCTTGTATTTCCTCCGGCTTCACTTCAATGTCAAAGCGCTCTTTCAATTCATTAGCCCATTGCGCAAAGAAAATTGTATTTTTCCCATGGCGCGTTAAACGCCAATTATCACGTCCCCAAATTTCAAAGAAATGTTGCTCCTCTTTCGCCGACCAATATCGGCGTTGTTTTTCCTTCTTTGAGTCCAAATCAGTTTCAGCCTCAATTTCCACCAGTAGTGGATTCAATGTCAACTCATCGTAATCCATTCCCCCATCTTCCTCAGACAACATATTAAATGACTGGTATGCTGCAACCAATATTCACCAGTAAAATTATCAATTTTCTTGCAAAATTATAATTTGTGCAAGATTTTCTCTATAAAATTGTAGTTTTTGCACAACTGTCGGCAATATAGACGCAGCGGGAGAAACGAACGCAAATCTGACATTTGAAGCATAAACGTCAGCAAAAAAGGAATGCGAAAAATTGCATTCAGCTGTGTTTCATGAGCGGAGTTGCATTTAAATAGCGGGAGATAGGTTTAGTTTTGTAATTTTTGACAAATAAATAGTTTTTTATATTTAAAATTACGTTAAGCTCTATTAAAATATACATGCATATGGGTGTTAAAAGTTTGCATGGAGCTTTAAATTATCAATGGGAATCAGATGGCAGCACTTGCGCCGTGGTCACGTAGACCACAATGTCTGAGCATTTGAGTCTGGCAGCACTTTGTTGGCATCGGCATCAGTGACATTTCGGTTTTGTGTTGTGTTTATGTCGCATATATAACAAAGTTTATTTAATACGAAAAAAAATAATTGAATAAAAAATATTTAATACATCAAACAAGCAAGCATGAGTAATTGTGACACTGAATCCGTAGATGAAAACCAACCACCGCCGTCAAATAATCCCTCAACATCATCAGCGACCGGCGAAGATGTGGAAGTAGTACCAAAACATTTAAGATCACGTTACTGGAATAGTTGGGAGGAGATGCGTTTGGTGGAGCTCTGGCGACTGTATTGTGCTGAAGTAACGACGTTAAAGATAAACGTGCCCATTTTCCGCACCATTGCAGAAGGCATGCGTGAATACGGGTTTTTGGTAAATGCACAGGAAGTGCGACGTAAAATGAATAATTTCAAAAACAAATATATGTAAGTATAATGATACATTTCACTTTTAATTGTTACAACCTTAACTATATTAATAAAAATTCCATAGCGCGGAGCGACGAAGCCTCGAGTTAGATGGGAACAAAAAGCAAAGCGATTGGCGTTTATATCCGCTCGTACACTGTTTGCTAGCCCCGCGACAAAAAAATCAGCTATTAACACATCAGAAATTAGTAAAAAAAAAATATGCATTATTTGATAACAAAAATAATAATACATTTTTTCTTCCTTATAGATTATTAATCAACTTTTCTCCAAAATACCTGCAGATGTGTTAAACAAAGAATTACCTTTCTCAGAAAGATTAGCCGACAAAACTAAACAGCAGTCAACTTCTTTTACCTCGAAACCTGTGGAGCTCTTAACATTACCAACACAATCGCGTTACCAACCACGACACCAACCATATGCCAAAACTTTCGGCAATTATTCCAGCACGTTACTACGACATAAATTTACAAAAGAGAAATTGACCCAACTAATTATAGACAATAGCATATTGTCTGACCAACGGGATACAGCCTTAAAGCACTTAAAAGCCGAAGAACGTTCCTTTGCAGCCTTAGAAAGTTTCCTTTTGAATTGGGAGAAGAAACACGAAACCACTTTGCAGAGTTTGCAGTGTACGGGTGGTGAATAATTATAACTAAAGAAAAGATTTTGTGTGGATTTGTTTTCGGTTCTACCTACCAAGTAAATTAAGATTATTTGTTATATTTTTGCTACTTAATTTAATAACCAAATTACCAATTTAATTTATGGGTTTGAGTTTGTGTGCCTAAATGGGCTTGATGAATATTATTGTTTCTCGAAATATGTAGGGAACTGAAGCACTTTTTTTTTTTTGAATAGTGTACATATGTATTGAAATAAAAAATACACTACAGTTATATTAAGTTGTTCGTATGTATCATATTTATTTTTGTTTTATCATAATCATCTAACTATTATTTTTTCAATTCGTACTGGTCATACATTTCTTCGTTTGAAGCAAATATTATGTTTTTTTCTTTAATTCGATTATTGTAATTGCAATTTAAAGTGTAGTCTAGTGAAGATATTTGTAGAACGGCAAATACAAACAGCAATAAAATTGCTAACATTGGTAATGAACTACATTAATAAAATGTTTTAACTGAAACCGAAATAACCGTTTTCCCCGTATACTGATTTTTGATAAGGCTAACTAGTGAAAGCACTTAAACTTAATTAAATACGAATATCCACTTAAGTTTTGTTGGTGCAAAGAAAATACAAATTACTGTACAAATAAATAAAGGAACACCTGAAGTGTTTGACAAAAGTTTAAGTTGAAACGCTTTTTTGCTTTATTTCTATTCTCTACTGCTCATTTTGGACTGTAAGCACTTAGTGTGTAGTAACGATTTTTTTTCCGATATATTGTTTTTGTTTTTAGTCGACGAGTTATGCGCTTCCACGTTATTCTATCTTTATTTCACTTAATTAAATGCCACATATTTGTGTGTATTTAAATGCCTATGTACGAGCACAATGTAAAGGCGCCGAATAGCACGATAATAATGAGTAAAATAGCTACCCAGGCAGGTATGGTGCCTAAAAATAAAAAAAAATAAACAATATTATTAATAAATAAACAGAATTTCCAATGAGCACTTACGTCGTTGCTGCAAACTATGTATGCATACTTTATTGTCAACGGAAATTGAGAGGACCGCCGCTTCCGTATCGCTTGAAATCGGTGGTCCCTCTTCGTTTGTTATTGGTAAGAATTGTAAGCCCGTCACGAACATTGAATGCGCATTGGGAATGTGTAGAACACGCTGGAAGATAATAGAGAATATAAATTTTACACGCCATAAATATAATTATAGCACACTAAGAAATAATACCTGCAAACTAAAGGCAATATATATGGAGACACTACCCGAAAACATTGTACCCACTGCCACGAAACGGCCATCATCACGCACGGCCAATGACGCCAAACTTTCATCGACTGGCACTGCACTACGCAGCTGGCCGCTAATACAGTCCCACTGCTGCAGGAAACCGCGTTGCTTACCCACCTTACCCAACGGATTGGTAATTGTGAAAAGCCGATATTTGTCCCGTTGCGCCTCAATGGTGCCGTATCGGCAACGTTTATACAGATATTTAGCGCCCTCGGGTGTAGGCCATTTAAGTTGGTGTTGCTGTTTCATGCTTGCCACGTCCCACACCAAGCCTTGGCCATCTTTCGAGATTGTGACCACATATTTTGAGTCGGGACTAAAGTCCATATCATCGATTTCCTTTGTGTGTGCTCTGTTTGTAAACAAGAATAACAATATTTTTTTTTTTAAATAATATGCTATTTTAAAAATTACTTACTCTACATCACTACGCTGCACCATTTGTGGGAATGTCCAAATGCGCAAATGACCATCTGTACCACCAGTTGCCATAAGACGTCCATTTGGACTGATACGTACAACACGTTGTAATGGTTCGGTTGTAAGAAAATCTGTTTGCACTGAATCTCCAGCTTTAATATCAAAACGTATACGCTTCAAATTAGCGTTCTGATCACTAGCCTTTTTGGACGCACCCGTTGCGTGTCCATTGGGCAATTCTTGTACACCTGAACCCTGTTGTGCTGCTGCGCCGGCACGTCTACGCACACCATTTTCATTTATATGTTCCGTACCACTATTCGTTCTCTGTCGTCTTTCCTCTCCACCTATTGTAGCATCTTCTTGTCCCTCATAAACTATGCGTGGATTGACGAAATACAATTGGCAATGTGATTCCTGTCCGGCACATAGGTAAGAACGTCGTCCATCATTACGCACAGCAAAATTCATAACTACATTGGCACCGGTCTCATGCCGCACAACCTCTTCAGCACAGAAATGTGTGCCATTGTGATAAAGTTCGTAGATTTCCTAACATGGAATAAACAATATTTTAACACTTATACATGTATGTAAGGAGTTTGTGAACTTATTAGATACTTACAAATCCATTAGCTACGCCTGTTTTCGCTGAACCGCCACCACCTGCCACAAGTACATGGCGACTAGTTAACATTTCAACAGCATAAAGTGGAAAATTTACTCGTGCCAGCAAACCATCGCTGGGACGTCGTGTGGGTGCCATTTTTTATGTTGTCAACAACTTGCCTGCTTTGAAATTGGCTTACAAGTTTGGATTTGCTGCACTTTGCTCCAGCTTCAATGATGGCCACTCTCTTGTTGTTTCTGTGTGCTCTTTTGTATTTGTATTGTTGTTACTTTTATTTCGTTTTGCTTTAGTAAAATCTGACGGTCTGTCTTCCTGGATATGCACACAGCTTCCTTCTTTTACCGAAACTTCTTAACGAGATTCTTTACATTGAAACGTTTATTTTTCACAGTTTAACAAATATGCAAAAATTGTATAAAACACCTAATGCACACTAATTATTGATTTTGTTATTATTTAATTAATAATTCTCTAAATTAATATAGTTTTTCTCTTATCGACTAGTTCAGCTGTGAAAGTTCCACGTACTCGTATCTCTTTCCTACAATCGGCAACTGACAGATGTTCAGCGCTGCCAGAGGAAGAAAATAAAAGCTTGAAATAACACAAAGCGGTTAGCACAATTTATCAGTTAAAAGCGCTCACAACTGATGTCATATATGATGACATCTGTCATAAGTAAACTCAAAAGAATAGAATCAGAACTTTGTACCCGCCGTTCTTACAAAAGAAATATCTGAAGAAACTGTAGACATGAAAGGTCACTTATAATGTCTGTACATAAAAATTCTGCGCCCTGAACAAGTTGGGCTTTGAAGCTGAATTTCAGCAAAAACGGCTGCCAAAAATGTATTCTTGTGTAGAGATGAGTACACTACCCTCCCATGTCAACTTGAAGTTAGAGACCACTCATTTTGAAACACAGCTAACGAGATCAATCAAAGCCCGATCCAAAACAACCCCAAATATCAGGGAGTGATATTCAACAGTTGGCCTCCTGACAATATCTGGACCAAAGACACACAAGCTTTGCTGACAACTTACAAGACCTTCGGCTATACGAATGTAAATTACGCATCGCCAATCTGGTCACCAGACTCAGGTGTAGAAGCTATAAATCTATGGAAACGCAGCTTTAAGCAGTGTCTTGCACTCTACGTACAATTCACATTGTTTTGATTTGTGCAATACCTAATGGTGTACTACTGAAGAGATCGCCTTTGCAGATACCGGCTCAAGGCACAGCCGCTCCGAACTTCATTTTGTAATAGGTAACATAGCCGCTGGACGCAATACACCACTGAGAGCTCTTGAAAGTCATTCACAGAGAATCAGCCAACATCTTATTTAACTCCCTGTTTTGGAATGGTGTCGTCGAAACGAGTCCACTCTCTAAAGTAGCCTTAACTCACGTACCCAATGTATGTCCAGTCCGCAATGAGTCCTCGCGCAAAGCCAACCATCTCTTTACCAATGTTAGATGTACTCGTATCTTAGCTCTACATTCCGGATACGTCAAAGCAGCTACTTTTCTGAGTGCCCCTCAACGACATCATTAGTCAAAAAACCCATTTTTGTATAGACAATTTTTGGTTTTTTGAAATATAGAAGATGGAACTGGAACTCTACGGTCTTTGGCTATTATTTCTGTTGTTGTTGTTGTTGTTGTTCTAACCGCAAAAATATATCCCAAAGTTTTTTTTGTCGCGGGAACTATTAGATTTTAGTCGCCTCTTACCACAGACATGCCTTACCGCGGGCAAATTCTTGAACCCCTAACCCGCATGGGTTTGGCTATTGTTTCTGTTGCTGTGGCTATTGTGTCCTTACATATTCAGAGCTTCAGAAAACAACTTGTTGTGCCGCACTGCGGTTAAGGCTGAGCTGCAGCACTAGACAAAAATGAGCCGCCCACACTCTTAACTCACTTACCACACCCCCCCGTCGTATGTACGCAATAAAATATGTACTTTGCCATAGTTGTAGGTACTTATGTGGCCTCCGATTGATGTATTATGGAAACATATTTATTATGGCAGGAGGCGTAACGTTGTACGCATATAAAACAAGCGACATTTTTATGTTCAATTTTATGCGAGAAAAACTCTCTTGGAAAGAATTTAGCAAACAAATCGTCATTATTGACGGCATGATAGGGATGGTAGGATATAAGTATGTACGTACATACATACATATATATTTATGCATGCATCTAGCGCTCTGTGCTAAGACGACCCACACCCACACCATGCACTTTACGGCGACCGACGGCTGTGTAAAACACTAATACAGGTAGTAAAACATGAAACAGCTTTTGTAAGCTTTACGTGCTTGCTCAAGCGTCTGCCAGCTTTTGCGGTGGCCGTCAAATAAACTCATCCCCCCTATTATTTGGTAATCCTCCAACTCCCTAGCGGTTCACAATTGCCGGTCGTGTGTCGGTTTTATGCGTTTGTCCATTGCGGTAACGTAAAATCTTATTCAAGACTAGTCTTTGGGTAAAGTTCAATGTGTGTAACGAAGCTGGAAGGCGGGTGCAAGAAGGGGAGGGCATTGAGAAGTGCTCGAATACATTTTTTATAACTTGGAATTTAAGAAAACTAAATTATATATTTAGAGTAGAGTGAAGTAATTGATTTTTCTAGTCTCCTTGGAGGATTGCCCGAGGATTGTCCACTCGAAAAGAGTTCTGCAGCTCTTTTCTGTGACTAAAAGCAGCAAACATCCAGACCAAATACCAGACACCGTACACTAAGGCACTAAATACAGTTAGCCTCAATAAGATTCAGCTCTTTATTTGTTTATCCAAATAATCATTAACACAGCCGAAAAGTCAGACAATGACTTGAGTAAACCAGCTAAAATCGCTCAACCAAATAAGGACACCAAGATCTGAATCATAAGTTAACTTCCTCTTTAAACCGTAGGGAGTGGAAAATATAAAGAACATATTTATGTATATACGTAAGTATATAATGCTGCTTGGAAGCCATTCACCGGTCCGTCTCCAACTTTATTTGTGCAACTACTTATGAGCAATTGCAATCGCGCTTGCACTGCCCACGCGCAGCGTTGAACTTTGAGCGTCCATACGATGCCGCTTGACAAGCAAACAAGTTCAGGCGTATTTTACCGTATATGGTGGGTTGCCGCCATTCAAAAAAAAAAAAAAATGAAAGAAAAAAAGGAAATACCTGCAGCAGCAACAAGTTGACACTTTTTATTTTCGGACGAATAATTCTTAAATGATTTCTACTTAACAGTCAAGTACCTACGCAGACAAAGAGGAAACGAATGGAGTTGACCATCAGTAAGAATTTCGATTATTGCGATTCCGCAGTTGGTGTGCCCCTTTGTACACAATACTTGTTTACCGGGCGAATGCGACTTGCTTTTTTCTAAATTGCAAAATCTGCTTCTTTTTACAGCCGGAGAACAATATTAGTTTCTTTCTGATATAACGAGGTATTTCTCGTTACAGCTACGACTAATATTGCCTACTAGACTCCAGATAAATCACAAACTCCGCCATTTTAGGCATATAGTAAGCCTTGTGTACTATCATTTGGAGCGTTGTGGGTTTGATTCCTCAGGTCAGATCAACATCCAAAATTGTGGAAAGCTAACTTTTCTAATTGCAGGCGCCCCTTGGCAAGAAATATCAATACCTTCGAGTGTAACGGGTGCCTCTAAAGATTAGTTATCCAAACCGATGTATTGAATTGGACGCGTTCCCATAGTAGAACACTGCAGATATCTTGTCCGTTTAACAAAACCTGATTAATTAAGCCGGATCAGATTTCAATCCGAAGATAGCCATATAAGCAGCTTGAGGTGTTTTCTTGTGCCGCAGTTTTGTCCTACAGACAACCACATTAGGCTTTGAAGCTGAATTTCAGCAAAAACGGCTGCCACCGATTATTCTGCCGTAAATACTTTCCTTACCCACCCAGTGTTAAGATCGCAAAGTAAACTTTTGACACCTTGACAGGTGTGGCACTCAAAGATACGTTTCAGTTGCTCATAAAAGACCTCCGTCCTTCTCCTACGTCGAACATGGACGGAAATCAGCGATGAGTTGAAGAACTTTACTCTGCTGCAAGGTCTCTCTACCAGCACAAATCCAATTCAAAAATAGCGCATCTTTATAAGGCCGACGTATAGTGAGTTTCACTGGGTCCTTCCAGCTTCTTCCGTTCTTATTTCGTCTTTTGCAATTCTTGTACGGCAGCGAGATTAGCATAAACTCCGATTAAGAAACCTTTGAACGTTTGCATGGAACGTCATCACAAAGTGCGGGAATCTGTCATACGGTGCATTCTGTTACTCTTCATTCGAGCATATTTTTTAGGTGTAAGATTTAAGCCCTCGCCTATAGTAGGATGTCTGTTGGCTACCCTCAGAAAATTTGGTCTAAGGCCGCAAGTTGTTAGCTGTGTGTTTCTCGCCACGTGGTCACTTCATCCAATTACTCCAAGCCATTATTAAGTACTTGCGTCTTTATCCACCCTAGGAATACATATGGACATGTACTTCTACTGTTATTTATATTTTAAATACATCTAATATGGTTCATGTCTTGTTGTTGTTTTTTTATATTAAAATAATATTGTGGTATTTACTTGGCGAGCTTAAGAAAGTTAGAGTTCAGCAACTTTTCATTTTTGGCACCTTTGTCCGGTGATTTGCACTTTTTTCATAATTTCAACAAACAAAATTGGGTTGCATGACGTCGCCGCCACCGCCACCGCCGACGGCACTAACCAATTAGAAGGCTAACAAATTATTACATACATATATATGTACATATGTATGTATGCACATTATGATTGACAACAAGCGAGAGAGGAAATTTGCAAAAATTATGCTATGAAGCAGGCGGGACGGAGCGGGTTGTTGAGCAAACAAACTCGTGTTTACACGATAAACTCACACCTATATATATATGTATGTGCATATGCATGTATGTATTTACATAGCACCTAGTCGCTTTCAAGCACTTTACACACAACTATTCTTCATTTTCTACTATGCACATCTATTCGCTTTTCATCTTGGTGATTACGCTAGCGTTGAGAGTTCAGGTTCAAAATCGTGTGGGATGTCAAAGAACTTTTTCCTATTCTTATTTGTTTTCTAATAGAAATTACTTTTATGTATTTGTTGTTGCTGTTGTCTGTTGTGTTATCTCTTCACCGGTTGTTTTACTATAATTTTTGTAATATTTTTTATTTATTTACTTTTTTCATATTTAATTGGTTTATTGTTACTACAATATAAGCGGGGTGGCTGTGTGGAGCGGGTTATCTGTCGCCCTCAGTTGATCTGGATTATAGATTGTATTTAAGTGGAACAAGTATTTGTTGCTGTTGTTGTTTTTTGTGAGTCGGAAATGAGTAAGTTATTATTTATAATATACATACATACATACATACATAAGTAGGTGCATGCATATGTACAAAGGTATATAAAGCGGGTAGAATCGAAGCAACTGTTGCTGCTTTTTTCTATAAAAAAAAAAATAAATGAAATAAATAAAAATAAAATAAAAT